GGCCGTCGGGGAGCCCTTGTATCCCCTCCCCTTCCTTCGTGGCGCCGAGGCCGAGGTCGAGGCCGAGTCCGACGACGGCGATGGCGACATCGCGACGGAGGCCTCGCATAGCGGGTCGCTTATCAGCGTGAGTCGGATTCCCCACCTCCGGGCCCCTTCCCACGACGAGAGCGCCGCCGACGACGAGGAGGCCGCGAAGCAAGGGGAGGAGGGGGCCGGCGACGCGCCGGCGACCCTCGAGGATCCCTCCCCGCCGGCCGGGGGCGCCGTGGTGATCGTCGAGGACTTTCCCCCCGCCCTTTCTTTACCTTCAAACGACGACGCGGCGGACGCCGCCGGGAGGGAGGGAGGGGAGAAGCAGGAAGGGGAAGGGGAAAGGGAGGAGAAAGGGGAGGAGAAAGGGGAGGAGAAAGGGGAGGCCTGCGAGGGTCCGCCAGAGGGGTCGGAAAGGGAGGGGCGGGGTTCGATCGATACCGGGGAGCTTTTTCTCGGCCCATCCCTGCGCGACGTCTACACGCACTGCTGCGACCTCCAGCACTGTCGCCCGAACAGCCATCTCGTGAAGCGGCTCCCGACCGACCCCCAGTTCACCGCCAGCGTGCAGGAGATCGACCTGACATCGAACTACGTCGGGCATAACGGGTTCGTCGCGGTGTTGGGGTTGCTGGAGTACCTGCATCACCTACGCCGCGTCGTGTTTGATGACATGTCGCTTGACAACGTCGACGCGGTGAACCTGTGCGGCGCGCTGTTGGTTCACCCTTCTGTAGAGATGGTCTCAGTGAAGAATAACCCCAAAATCACCCTGCCGTCGACGCCACATTTCTCTAGGCTGGTGAAGGGCAACCGCCGAATTACGTGTCTGGAGCTTGAGGGAACCCTCCTGGGCGAAGCCGTCGTCCAGCGACTAGCGCGTGCCGCGGCAAGCAATAAGAGTCTCCCCCCTTTCCCTTCTTCCCCCCAAGGCAATGACGTCGGTTAATAAAATAACGACACAGGCTAAAAATGAACGGATCGTGTGAATATCAATATGTCTATGCATCTCTATATAGATAGAGATTGATGGCTGATGGGGACTGAATGCGGGTGCCTTCAAATTGCGTTTCCATTTTGTTTTTATTTTTCGCATTCCAACATATTATTCCTTTCATTGCATCACTCTATGACTTAGATATCTTTGAATTGCAACTATTCAACAAATAAATACCTATATATCTATATTCCCAATTTACAATGTACAGAAATGTTGCTCAACCCATTATCCAGCTCAGGGCCTCCACTTTTCCCCGTGTTTGGGGAAATTAAATGAGTCTCGCAGAGAGGCAATCATGTTCCCAACCACGATGAGAATGTTGTTGATGAATTAATGTATACAATTTCTTAGTGGGAGGGAAAACTAGACACACTACCTCACATTATAGCAAGAAACTGCATCTATAGAAGGATAGAATGGGCACATGCACTCTCCTGAACCCCTTTTCCTCTCCTATATCCCTCTAGCAACCTTAATCGATGCGATAGAATATTATATCTCCTTTGTCGTTCTTTTTATCTCATCCTAGGTAATATTTTCCCCCTCGCTCCTATGATCTAAGCTCGTAGCGGACACGATCAAACGAATGGACGTGTCGAAAATGATGCCCCCAAATCCATTTAACAGTCTTCTGTTCTTCTGTGGCTTACCCGGCCAAGTGGCCCCCTTTGAGTTCCTTTCCAAGCTCTCAACGGGGTATACATCGGCGTTTCAAATAAGGCGCTCGTGCGGCAAAGCAGCTCGGCAGGGCCTGAGGCTTCCGTGGGGGTGGCCCTTGGAATAATATTCCTATACTGGGATTTCTGTGGCTGTTGAGCGGTATGGCGTTGGGGTTTTTATCGAAAACAATGGGAATGCTGGGTGCAGCTTCTGTGCGAATCGAAACGACGTGTGGTCCACCGTGTTAGCCGGGTGGAATCCTCCTGGTGGAGGTGTCTGGAGAGCGAGATGTTCTGCTTCACGATACGAATGGGAGTGGGATCAACCACTGAGGTTCTCTTGATGAGATGAGCAGATTTTACTAGTATGATCAGCTCCAAGAGCGCCGGCTCTGGTGGTGTTTCCTCGTTTTTCTCTCTTCCTCAATCAGAAGGGAGCCCTCTGTTCGAGTAACGGTGCTGTCCGTCAGGATGTCGGATCTGCGCTAATTGGGACAGTTCTACGACTTTGTAGCAGCTTAGTGACACTCCTTTGGTGGGCTTCAAGTAACCTTGTTATTGGTTTCCTCATGGAGTTTTCCATTCTGCGGATGATTGCTTTAGTCTTCGTATATTAAATCACTTCAACACTTATCCACAACCTTTTTAATACTGGTTTCCAATCTGTCTGTTCATACAAAGATAGCTATTTGTAGAATAGCACACCATTATTGTTTCCAAACCCATTTATAACTATTTTGTATAATGTATCCAGAACGGCGTCCGTATGCCACCACCATGGAGCACACCGGCTACCGCGACAAGCCTCTCGCACCGATACCGAAGCCGCCGGCGCATGCCCTCGAGATTCTAAACGCAGAGACCGGGTATGACAGCATCGTTCCCGTTCGAGGCTCCGTAAAATCCAGAGGCCGTGGGATGATGCTTGATCGGAATGGTGCGACTTCTTCGTTAACCCGAGGCTCGGATAATTGGGGGGCATCGGCCGCTCCGAATGGCCTCTTTGACGGAGACGACAACGACCCTCTTGCTGAGCAGAAGCTGCAAAACCCCTTCAAGTTCGCGACTAAGATGTACCACGGCTCCCAGCAGGCGGTTCTGAATACCGAGCTTCGCTTTAAGCTAGAGAAGCTCGTGAAGGACTGGGAGGATCGTATGGATAAGCTTCGCACGCTCATGGTGCAATACCCCTTCGACTGCGCTACGGTCAACGCACGCATGCTTGAGGGGATTCGCTCTTATCTTACGGGCTATCGGTGTGCGGAGGACCTCACCTTGCCTGCGGCGCACCTAGTGCAGAATCTCAAGCTGCATACCTCCCTGACCGAAATTGAACAGGCGGAGGCGGTGCCGCGCCTGCAGATCGATGGTGTCCAATACACCTTAAACAGCTTGCTTACCTCTGGTCACCTCATCGCCCCGCTTGAGGAGTACCTCGAAGCACTGAAGGTACTAGACCAGGTGGCGTGCTTCGTGATTGAGGGCTCGGACTCCTGTGAGGGCTCGGGAACGGCGCTTGTGAAGGAGACGGCGCCGTCAAAAGGGGCAATCCTCCCCAGCAGGGCTGCCATCTCCCTGCACGAGCGCAATCACTTCAACCCGGGCGAGTACACTTTGGGTGAGCTTCAAAAGAGTCAGGATTTCCTCCAGAACATGGAAGCGCAGGTGCTAGAGGCGAAGTCGCGGAAGGACGCCGCGGTGTACCGCCGCGAACCCATCGAGGCTCTTCGGAACCTCCACGCACAGATTGACCTCTCCAACGAGATGCTCCTGCTGAATAAGACTCGTATGGAGTTGGTGGTGCTGTACTGCGACGATGTGCGCTGTATGCGGACGGACGTCGCGGAGAAGATGGAGGGCGCCGAGGGCGCCGCAGCGAGGCTGCGCAGTCGCTGCTCCGCGCTCCTCTCGAAGGTGGCGCACGACATGGAGGTCCTGCAGGAGGCGATACGGACCACCCACGATGAGCTCAGCGAGCTGGAGCGGCAGGAGCAGGAGGCCGAGGCGGCCGCGCAGGAGGCCCTCAAGGGGTTCCAGACCGAGGAGAAGGGCTACTGGGAGCAGATCCGCGACCTCCTCGAGCAGCTCAGCGGCGCCGCAAGCCGGAAGGTGGAGTTCATGATGAGCCACATGTCACAGCGCGAGCGACGTGCGAGGGCCTATGTCGAGACTTTCTCTCGTCTGAAGGCTGAGGAGGAGCACAGCGAGCGCCTCAGCGGGGTGCAGATGTTCGCCCAGCGCTGGGAGCAGGGAAGTGGGATCTACCAGAAATACGTCGAGGCCTTCATCCCGAAGCTACTGAAGCGCCTCAGCGCCATCGAGGAGTCCGCCAATGACCTTAACCAAAATGAATCGCAGGACTACGTCCGTCGGTATGAGATGTTCGCGTACGCGGCGGAGGAGGCCAGGGCGAAGCGCTCCGTGCAGGCCGATCGCATGCGCCTCACCCAGCGAAGCATGCAGATGAACCAAGAGTGCGCTATCGAGACGCTTGATCCGACCGTGGAGCAACATGCGCAGCGGTACGCCGAGGCTGGCCGGGAGCTCGAGGAGGTCTTGGCGTACATCGCGTACCTGGAGACCATCCAGCAGGAGCGGAAGGAGGAGATCGATCCGGTGCTGCAGAGCGTCCTCTCACACAACCAACTCACGACGACGGATCCTCTCGAGCTGGAAAAACAGGAGCTTCAACGGCTGGTCGCGGAGTCCGTTCAGGCGGAGCGGCAGAATGGCAAGGGCGCCGACGTAGGGAATGCCGACAGAGCCGCGTCTGACCCTGTCGAGTGCAACGAGGTGCTCGCCGCGGCCATAAAGGCCGAGGATGGCGTCTCGAGCAACGCGGTCACTGCGACGCAATCGATGAAGGATGCAAACGGGGCGTTATCCGTGCTCACGAAATCGGTCATCCACCCGTTCCTATCCGCACGCCAGCAGGGCATCACGCATGAGGAGGTGTATGTCGAGAAGCATCAGCAGCTTAACGAGGCAGAGTTGTGTGCGGTGGAGACGAAGATGGATAGAATACGGAAGAACAAACTGGAGCAGGCGGAAATGTCAATGAGGTACCAAAATGCGGATTATATTCGGACGCTATTGGCTGCCAACGACCCGACATGTCAAATCTAACCGTTATCATCATTTTCGTATCAATCGAATAAAGTGGAGGAGAGGAAAAAATATATCTGTATGTACCCTTTAACCCCTTGTCTTTCGTCCTTCCTCCACAGACGCGCGTACGAAATACGTTTTGCACACTACAGCCGAAAGTTTGCATGGGGTGAAGGAGGTCATCCATTACCCAACCCCCAAAAGGAACCAAACTGGAATATGAGATTAGAATTTTTTTTGTGCGTTTGTGTGTATAGTTTAGCTGTTTTCACTCCACTTACTCGCACTTTTCTTGGCCCCGGTATTTGCACTCATGCGCGTTGTTGTGTGATGTCTTTATTTATCTTACCGGTTTTTAAATGTAAGCTAATGTTTGTTTTTATTCAATATTGTTAAACATATGTATCTTATTTTTTTTTCTGTATGTAATTGTGTTGTGACGTTTCTAATTTATTGCTTTTTGGTTATTTATTAGCCTCAAGCTCATGTGTTTTTAGGCGTAGAGGATGGGATAAACGTGGCAGCAATATCTCAAAGTGTACTAAGAAAAAGGGAAAAAATGTGTACCCCACAGGGGTTCCGAAAGGGATAGGAAATCACCTTGGGCTGTTCAGCTTGTCAATTTTGTGCTTTCAGAATATGTGGGACGTATTCTCTTAATTTTAGAGTTTATATGAGGCGTAGAACCTTTTCAATTTTTTGATATTCACTAGGTAAACTATACGCTTTTAGTTTGATGGATGCTCTGAAAAGAAAACCCTCAAAACTCTTCTTCCTACCTTTGAGCCTGAGTAAAGCAGAACGATGTAATATTTGCCACTCGTGCATCCCTCTAATCACAGTCAGTTTAATTCTGATGTCGATATGATGTCTATTGATAAATAAAAAAAATCCCTTATGAGGGGTGTAAATCCTCATTTCTGTGGGTGCTGCTATACGGCTTCCCCCCCCCCCCCCCCCCCTTTGACCATTGTCTTTTCTTCGTTAACTTCAAGGAAAAGTGGGTCCATACGGAGCCTAATAAGCTTGATGGAGTACGAACAACTCGAAAATGGTCTTTCCATCATCGCCAAATGCATCGTCTCGCAGGACATCGACGACTACTACGAGCTACTGAGCCCGGACGTGGTGGTGGTAACGCACTTCCCCTACCCGGACCTGCGCGACTCGAACCACCCGGCGGTGGCGCCGATCGCGTTTCTCCCGCACGCCTTCCCGGCGGACGGGCGCGACGACGCCCCCCGTCCTACCACCCCCGTCTCGCTTAAGAAGGCGCTGCTGAAGGAGCAGGCCGCGCGATGGGCGGTGCAATCCCAACGCTACGCCGCGCACGCCTCGCGGAAGGACGAGGGGCAATTCGCGCTGCGGTTTTCCACCCCTCTTCCGGACGCGGCCGCGGCCGCGACGCCCGCGAAGGAGGCGGCGCCGACACCGGCAGGGGCGGGGGCGGCCGGCCGACGAAGCACCCCCCTCCCTCCCCCCCCTCCCACGACGGGGAAGGACCCCGCGGAAGGGCTTCGGGAGGTGGCAGGGGTGTACTTCTTCTTCCGCCAG